AAGTTTTCTGTTTCCCTAGCATCTCATTAAGGAGATAAAACAATAAAAACGAGTTTATTTAGAACCACAGAATTCCATTGTATTTTGCTATTAAAATTATCTATCATTTTATTTGCTGCTAAACTTATTTTTATTTATTTATTATTTTGTTTCTTTTCTTTTTGGAAGGCAGAGCGACAGAGAGCTCTTAGAATTGCTGGTTCAGGCCCCCGACAGCCACATGGAGTTCTGGGAGCACAGCAGCCAGAATCAGAGCACACCCTGGGGCAGGACGCTGGCTCTCACAGAGTTGTCCAAAGGTGGGCACCTGGCAGGCTCCATTCCTGATGCTCCCACTGAGCACCTGTGTGCCCTGGGCGAATCGGTCAGCGCATGCGGCCTGGACTGTCCCCGGTGCTCTGCCCAGGGTGACGTGAGCTTGCGCACAAGGGCCTGGACACGCCTGAGGAAAGCTCCCATTCTGCAGAAAGCTACGGTGAGCATCACCAACAGACGGGCATGATGAATAATGCATGTTATTAATATGGACGACACAGATCTTTACGTATGCCACATGTGGCTGCCCTGTGTCTCCGGGAGCCCCACCACCCAAAGCCAGCCCAGCCCAGGCGTCCTGCACACTCTGGCCGGGCAGGCCAGTGCGTATGGCCAGCTTGCTACAGTGCTGCTTCGTGCCCCGTTTGGCCCAGGTGGACATGCAGTGTGTGTTCATGTTGCTGGCATGAAATCCAGGGGATTCAGTGGCCCACAGCCTACATGCTGAGCCGCCAGGTGTGCTAGAGGCCCGGACACGCCGACAAGGACCTTCGGGATGACCACACAGCCCGCATAACCCCTTCACCACGGAGGTATTCCTGTTCTTCTTTTGCTGACTTCCTCACAGTTCCTGTAGAGGGCAGTCAAAAGTATTACATGTTTTGCCCGTTTGCTTTTTCTTTTTTGATTGGAAAAGCGGATATACAGAGAGAAGAAAACGAAAGATCTGTTTACTGATTCACTCCAGAATTCTGCCTTTCAAATAAATCTCAAGTCCTTAATGAAACACATTGTATGTTAGTCATTTCTAAGAGCAATAAGTATTGTCAGATCATTAAGTAGTTGTGATTAATATTTATTGGTTGTAATTACTTATTTAAAGGTTTTTGCGGGGAGGGTGGAGGCAGGTGTTGCTGCCATTTCGGGACAGAGCCAGTAGGTGGAAGATCTTTTTTCTGCAAAATCTGCATTTAAAATAAAATGAAATAAATCTTTAGAAAAATTATTGGCGCTGGCCCATTGGAATGCCCTGGAAGGAAATCAGCAGGGAACTCCCTGGCTGGCAGCGTCCGGGGCTGCACGGGTCTCACACAAGCTGCAAGCTGTGTCCAGGACCAGGGCTGGCCCAGGGCAGGTTCCACAGGCTTTGCTTCCTGCTAACTCCACGCTGTACCATCACGCCGCCTGCTTATGCTTGGTCCAGCCAGATCGTTTCTGTTCAACTCTCACGTTGAGTTGTGGATTTCAGTGTCATCATGGGGAGAAAGCAAAGTGATGAAAAGAGACGAGATGCGTGCCTCTGCGGCTGCGTGTCTGCCTCTGTCCACTCCCCCCTGCGATGGACTCAGCTGTGCTTTGGCAGTTACATGTGGCATTCAGGGAGTGAACCGGGACTAGATGCGGGAGTTGCTGACACACTGGAGCCTGGGCTGAGCCTGGGCTGATCTGTTTCAGATCCAGCTCCTTGGTTCTGTGCCTGCGGGCAGCAGGAGATGGCCCAAGTACCTGTGACCCTGCCAATCACAAAGAGACCTAGGCAGAGCCTGGCCTTCTGGCTTCAGCCTGGCCCTCCTCCAGCCACTGTGGCCACTGGGAGATCCGACTCTCTTGATCGCTCTGACATGCTGCCTTTCAAATAAAAGATAAATTTACCAGGAAAGGTTACACAAAGTCACCCTCTGATGAAATGGCATCCTTAAAGGAAAAGTCATGGGGGCTGCAGGCTAATCTGCCACCTGCAGTGCCAGAATCCCATGTGGGCACTGGTTCAAGTCCTGGCTGCTCAACTTTCCATCCAGCTCCCTGCTTGTGACCTGGGAAAGCAGTCAAGGACGGCCCAAAGCCTTGGGACCCTGCACCCACATAAGAGACCCAGAAGAAGCTCCTGGCTCCAGGCTTTGGATTGACGCAGCACCGGCCATTATGGCCACTTGGGGAGTGAATCATTGGACGGAAGTTTTTCCTCTCTGTCTCTCTTCCTTTCTTATATCTGACTTTTCAGTAAAAATAAATAAATAAATAAATATATAAATATATATATATAAAGCCACGCCGCCTCTAGTCACCCAAAGCTGGTCTTGACGGCTTCCCCACTGAACTTTCGGCCTTTGGAACTGTGTTGTGTAAGACACACAGTTCACAGGTTTGCCGTGTTGGCCCGGGCACCACAATCTGCTCTCTGCTACAAAGCAAGACCCAAATCTCTGGAACCACTTCTGAAAGCTTCTGCCCTCTGTGTGTGCAAACAGCCCTTCTCAAATTGGTTTTCAGAAACTAGCCTTCATTTTATTTGAAAGAAGTGGGAAACACAGGGAGACAGAGGGAAAGGTCCCCTGCCCTTTGGTTTACTTCTCAAATACAACAAGCAGCACTGGGCCGGACTGAAGCCAGCGGCCACGAGCTTTCCGTCCATACGGGATCCGGTGTTTGTAAGGTGAGGATTAGACTGATCCACGGCACCAGGTCCATGGCTAGACCCTCTTCAGGGCAGAAGTTGTTGTTTCTGGGCCCTGTGTGATGGCTCAGTGGCTATGTCTGCATCTTGCATGCACTGGGATCCCACGTGGGCACCAGTTCACGTCCCGGCTGCTCCACTTCCCATCCAGCTCCCTGCTTGTGGCCTGGGAAAGCAGTCGGGGACGGCCCAAAGCCTTGGGACCCTGCACCTGCATGGGAGACCTGCGAGAAATTCCTGGCTCCTGGCTTTAGTTCGGCTCAGCTCCTGCCGTTGTGGCCATTTAGGGAGTGAATCGGCAGAAGGCAGATCTTTGTCTCTGTCTCTTCTCCTCTCTGTATATCTGGCTTTTCAATAAAAATAAATAAAAATTTAAGAACAAATAAGTCACTACCTCCAGAAGGTGAGAAGGAGGTCAACTCTGCCCAAAAGGTAGTTTGGCCCCCGCCTTGGGAGGGACACCCCACACTGCGGAGGGACACCCCGCACTGCGGAGGGACACCCCGCCTTGGGAGGGACACCCCACACTGCGGAGGGACACCCCACACTGCGGAGGGACACCCCACACTACAGCGCCTGCCTTCAGCCCTACTGCAGCACTCTCGGCTTCCGCCTTGGGGAGGGTCCCCCACACTTGAATAAAAAATAGTGAAAGTTGTCAGCCCAGGATAATGTACCCAGCTAAACTTTCCTTTGTCTTTGAAAATGAAATAAGATTATTCCACAGTCAAAAAAAGTTAAAAGAATATGCCTCTTTCAAATCTGCCCTACAAATGATACTTAAAGATGTTCTCTTTTTTAAAAAAGATTTATTTTTATTATTTTTTTATTGGAAAGGCAGATATACAGAGAGGAAGATCTTCCGTCCGATGACTCACTCCCCAAGTGAGTGCAACGACCGATGCTATGCCGGCCAGGAGCCTCTTCCGGGTCTCCCACGTGGGTGCAGGGTCCCAAAGCTTTGGGCTGTCCTCGACTGCTTTCCCGGGCCACAGGAAGGGAGCTGGAAGGGAAGCGGGGCTGCTGGGACAGAACTGGCGCCCATATGGGATCCTGGGCGTGCAAGGCGAGGACCTTCACCACTTGCGCCACCGCACCGGGCCCCTAAAGATGTTCTCTTGACAGAGAAGAGAAATAGCATCTACCGAAACCAAAGGCAAATGTGAAGAACATCTCAGTAAAACAACAACAGAAGACTAAACCAATGAACAACCCATTGCTAAAATGAGAGAACCAAATTATCCCTGTTTGGTATTAACCCTGAATATAAATAGCTTAAACCCATCAATCAAACGTCATAGATTAATAAACTGGATTAAAAAACAAAACCCATCTATTTGTTACCCACAGGAGACATATCTCACCAACAAAGATCAGTGGAAACTGTATCTCATGGGTTTTGAGGTTTTTGTTAGTTTCATCTCTTCAAAACACTTTCTTCTGATTAAATTCTTCAATGTAGCATCATTTTCTTAAAGAAGGTTCTTGATTTTCTTTTCCATTTCTTCAGCGACACCTTAGTCACTCAGTAGCATGTTATTTAACTTCATGGCATTGTTAATTTTTTTTTTCTTCTTGTTGTTGACTATGTTTTGTGGCTTTTAATTCAAGGGGATGTATAGTAGCTGTGTAATGGAGACTGTCGTATCCAGATGTGAGGATACAATGCAGTGTGCATCTCTACTTCCAGACAAAGATGGACTCCCAATGAAACTGTTTACTATATCCTGACAATAGGATGCTGGACTCTGCCATTGTCCATGCCCGCAATGATGGGCATATAATTGTGTATGAAGAACTATATTATAGTAACGATATAGGGGAACTCAGTGAAAGGGGAGGGAGTAAGGGAAATCCCATGATCCATAGATCGTACTGTATCAAGGAATATAATAATAAACAGGAGTAAAATTAGAAAATAAATAAATAAATAAATAAAATAAAAGCACTAGGGCCTGGCCACAAGGTCCCGCCCCTCGGGGGTCCGACCACTGGAGCCCCGCCCCTCGGGGGGTCCCGACCACTGGAGCCCCGCCCCTTGCAGCCCCGCCCCTCTGGGGTCCCGACCACTGGAGCCCCGCCCCTCGGGGTCCCGACCACTGGAGCCCCGCCCCTCGCGGCCCCGCCTCGGCGCTCAGGATTCCCGCGGGAAGGCGGGCCGCGTGGGTGGCTGGGAGCGGGCGCGGGCCGGGCATGCGCAGAGCGCCGGCCGCCGTTGCCGTGGCAGCGCGGTCCCGGGGGAGGACGGCGGGCGGCCAGCCGGGCCGGGCGAGCTGACGCGGTGAGGCGGCGAGCGGGGAGGCGGCGAGCAGGGAGCCCGGCCGGAGGCGGGGATGCGGGACCGGCTGCCGGACCTGACGGCGGTGAGCGGCAGATAGCGGTTCTGGCCGGGGCTGAGGCGGGGCTCGGGGCGTCGTGCCGTGGGGCGGCGCTGGACGGGGCGTCTGGCCGCTGGGCGCCGGGGTCGGCCGGGCCGTGTCAACACTGGGCCGGGTGCCCGGAACGGGCCGGCGGCCTCGGCCCCGCAGGCGCGCAGTGTCCACGCCCGGGACGCACCGGAGAAGGCCAGCGCTCGGGATGTCCCCTGTCCACGCGGGACGTGGGCGCCCGGCGGGCCCACGCCGCTGCCCTGCACCCCAGAGCTGTGCGTGTTTGTCCCGGCACACCCAGCTGGCGGAGAGCGGCCTGGGGGCTTCGCGGGGCCACGGGGGGCTGGCTAGGGTGCTTGTAGAGCGTGCAGGTGCAGCGAGGCGTCCGCTGGACAGGGGGTTGACCACCTCCCAGGGCGGAGCAGGGGGGACACCGAGTGTGTGTGTCCCTAGGTCCCCAACATCGGGGAGAGGCAGGGTGGCCAGTGGCCTGGGGGGACACAGGTGGCACGTGTGTGTGTGTGTGTGTCCAGCGTCAGGGAGAGGCAGGGTGGCCAGTGGCCTGGGGGGACACAGGTGGCACCGTGTGTGTGTGTGTCCAGCGTCAGGGAGAGGCAGGGTGGCCAGTGGCCTGGGGGGGACAAGGTGGCACTGTGTGTATATGTGTGTGTGTGTGTCCAGCGTCAGGGAGAGGCAGGGTGGCCAGTGGCCTGGGGGGACACAGGTGGCACCGTGTGTGTGTGTCCAGCGTTAGGGAGAGGCAGGGTGGCCAGTGGCCTGGGGGGACACAGGTGGCACCGTGTGTGTGTGTCCAGCGTTAGGGAGAGGCAGGGTGGCCAGTGGCCTGGGGAGGCTCGGGTTCGGGCACTCTTCCTGCAGTCTGAGGATGGTTTCAGCCTGTCCACACGGGACTGTCCGGGAGCGCTGCCAGCGGAATACATGCATGTACACGGGCCGCAGTATGTGCTCTCCTGGCTTGGGCAGGAAGTGAGCAGGCCGGCAGTGATCACACTTCCACCCTCAGCAGGGCGTGATGCAGTCTGCCAGGTCCTCGAGTTCTGGTGGTGCTCTGGGGACGGGCTGGGTCCTGGGGGGGGCTGGGGACGGTAAGGACCACTTCCCGGAGGCCTTTGACTCAGCTCAGTTCATGTCACACCTCTTGGTGTGTCCTGAGCCTGAGGTGGGGCTGGTGCCATGTCTAACCCCCTGGAGGGCGTCGGGTGATGGAGCCGGGGAGGAGGTGGGGCTGGTGCCATGTCTAACCCCCTGGAGGGCGTCGGGCGATGGAGCCGGGGAGGAGGTGGGGCTGGTGCCATGTCTAACCCCCTGGAGGGCGTCGGGCGATGGAGCCGGGGAGGAGGTGGGGCTGGTGCCATGTCTAACCCCCTGGAGGGCGTCGGGCGATGGAGCCGGGGAGGAGGTGGGGCTGGTGCCATGTCTAACCCCCTGGAGGGCGTCGGGCGATGGAGCCGGGGAGGAGGTGGGGCTGGTGCCATGTCTAACCTCCTGGAGGGCGTTGGGCGGTGTGGACCTGGGGAGGAGGTGGGGCTGGCACCGACCCCCCGGGTTGGAGTCTGACGTTATGGAATGGGGTAGAGCTGGGTCACCAGCAGTTGCTGCCCTCTCCTGGGCCTGGCACTGAAAGTCAAAACTGAATTTGGCATACTTAACAATTGAGCAACTTTTAATACTTAAAAGCTCTGCCAGTGTTACCAGATAGAAATTTAAATGTTCCCGCCTCCTCCACCACAAAATCTGTCATTTTCAAGTAGTTCTTGGGGTTGTTTTCAGTTCCCGCCACCACGGCTCCGAATGGCTGGGCTTTCTCGTAGGGAAAGTTTGCTGTTTGATTTGATAGCATATCTCACCTACAGTGTCCACTAAGGGAAGGTGTCTGTCCCCTTTGTCAGCTCTTCATGCTTCCTCCTGACGAGGGAAGTAGCCCTGCTAACTGCTTAGAGAAGAGCTGCATGTCCCCTTGTCCTTGCGGGTCCTTGTCTAAGCGCTGATGCCATGTGAAGGTAGCGGTCGGGCACAGAGCTCACATGGCTTTCCCAGAGCTCGTGGCTGCAAGTGGAGAGGGGCACTCGGCGTGACGTGGGAGCCAGCCGTGCACACCTGCCCGGGCACTGGCTCCGCTGCAGGCAGTGCGCAGGCTGCACAGCCACGGCCGGGGACTGGGTGTGGTGGCCAAGGGCGAGGGTCAGCAGAGGCAGTGCATCGCAGCGTGGAAGGCGTGGGAGCAGCACAGCAAGATGACGGCCCTGCATACGTTGTGAAAGTCTGCTTCCAAGTGCTTGTGTCTTTTGTAATGAAGGGTAGAACAAGACAGATGCCAGCAGAGTCTTGTCTTCAAGGCTCTTTCTGTTGTCAGGTGGGAAAGCTGTTGCGCTGGAGTAGAAGGAGGAAGGGGGGCAGAGGGCAGGGGCAGCCCTGAGCAAGCTGGCCAGGGGCTGCTCTTGCTGGCCGTGTCCGTTCCTTGCTGCGTGCATCCAGGCCGTGTGTCAGCGCTGCGTGTGTATGTGTTGTGTGCACACCGTGTGTGTGCTGTGTGTCGTGTGTGTGTGCTGTGTGTCGTGTGTGTGCTGTGTGTCGTGTGCTGTGTGTCGTGTGTGTGCTGTGTGTGTGTGCTGTGTCGTGTGTGTGCTGTGTGTCTGTGTGTGCTGTGTGTCATATGTGTGCTGTGCCGTGTGTGCGCTGTGTCTGTGTGTGCTGTGTGTCATACGTGTGTGTGCTGTGTGTCTGTGTGTGCTGTGTGTCGTGTGTGTGCTGTGTGTCTCTGTGTGTCGCGTGTGTGCTGTGTCGTGTGTGTGTGCTGTGTGTCGTGTGTTATATGTGCATGTGCATGGGCTGGGTGTGTGAGTCGTGTGGATAGGTATGTGCCTTCAGTCCGGGAGCGCAGTGCCCCATATCCCTGCCCTGGTTGTCAGCCATCTGTGCCCAGCTCCTGACTGATGGCTTACTTTGTGCCAGGCGCTTTTTAGGCGTGATGCACAAGTTGTGAGAGGAGCCCTTGTGCTCGTGGCTCCTGGGGCAGGAAGGTGACAGTGGATAGGCAGCGCATGAAGGTGCCGTGGCTCCCGTGGGGCCCGTGGGCCAGGGCAGGGGCGTGAGTGTGCCAGTCACGGTGCGTGGCTTGCAGTGAGATCTAGTGAGCAGGGACCAGGTGAGCACATGGCTGTGGCAGAGGCCAGTGGATGGCTAGGACAAAGATGGCCAGTGTGATTCTGAGAGGAGAGCTGGGCAGCTGCCATGGCCCCTTCTCTGCGGCCAGGAGAGGGGGAAGCGACTCTCCCGGCTCCTTCTGGGGTGACTGGTGCAGTGCTTGGGGTGCCTGACCTGAGTTCTGGTTCCCCTGCTTCTGACCAGGCCTCCTGCTCGTGGCACCCTGGGTGGCAACAGGTGCCGGCTGACGTGGTGGGCTCCTGGTCATCCACATGGGGGACCCGCCTGGAGTTCTGTCATCAGAAGCATCCTCTCTGCAAGCTCTCCTGGCACCACCTCAGGTCTGACCCTGGTGTGAGGGGAGCACTGAGCGTGGCTGTGGGAGGGGCCACTCTGCCCAGTGGCCCAGGGTGGCGCGGCACCACGCCCTGGAGTGCCTCAGGCGGCACCACGCCCTGGAGTGCCTCAGGCGGCACCACGCCCTGGAGTGCCTCAGGCGGCACCATGCCCTGGGGTGCCTCAGGCGGCACGTGCCTTGGGGTGCCTCAGGCGGCACCACCACGCCCTGGAGTGCCTCAGGCGGCACCGCGCCCTGGAGTGCCTCAGGCGGCACCACGCCCTGGAGTGCCTCAGGCGGCACGTGCCTTGGGGCGCAGTGGTGTTGTTTAGTAGGCTGATGGCGCTCACACCCCGTGACTCAGCAGCTCTCTGCCTGGCTGTGCGGGGCCCCAGGGAGCATGCGGAGTGTGGGAGGAGTTGTTGAGGAGGGCCTTCCCGTGCACTGGGTGACACGACAGCCTGTGTAACACGGCACCGTGGGTGTTTACGGGAATCCTGAGTTGTGTGGTATGATTGACCTGTGTTAGCATGCAGAAATCTCTAAACCTGACATTCAGGGAAAACGCCAAATTACAAAAGCCGCGAAGGGTATAATACTGTTTTTTGAAGATTTTTTTTTTTTTTTAATTTGAAAGGCAAAAGTTAAAAAGAACGAGAGGAGAGAGAGAGAAATATCTTCCATCTGCTGGTTTACTCCCCAGATGGCTGCCGTGGAACTGGGCTGATCTGAAGCCAGGAGCTTCTTCCGGGTCTCCCATGCGGGTGCAGGGGCGCAAGGACCTGGGCCGTCCTCTGCTGCTTTCCCAGGCCACAAGCAGGGAGCTGGATGGGAAGCGGAGCAGTGGGCATGCACTGGAGTCTGCATGGGATCCCAGTGCATGTAAGGCGAGGTTATAGCCACTAGGCCATTGCACCAGGTCCTGAGGGCTTATTTATTTGTTCAAATGACAGAATGACAGAGAGAGGAAGAGACATGTGTCTGCTGGTTTGCTTCTCAGATGGGCACAGGGCTGGTGCGGGTCCAGGTTGAGTGCAGAGAACTGAACTGCCTGGTACCCCACAGGGGCAGCTGGCCCAGGTAGCTGGGACATTGCCCACTGCCAGGGGTCTGTACTGCAGGCAGAGTAGCTGGGACACAACACACTGTGTCACGGGTGGCCTAGGACTCACTCAAGGAGAATTGTATTTTTACTGTAGTTCTTTTTAGAGAAGCAAAATGAGTAGCAATGGAAAGCTGCTACTTGAGCGTTTATCCCACCTCTGACGCTTTGGCAAACAAGCGTGTCATGTGGGGGCGTGTCCCAGGGCTTCAGGCGCCGTTCCCCTCGGCAGTTTTGCGATTCATGCTAACGGGCTGTCGGAAAGGCGGCTTGGGGCTGGGTTGTACTTTGTCATCATGGCAGAGTGAGCGTGGCCTCCCTCTGACGGGAGGAACGTACAGCTCAGGCTCCCAGCCAGAGGCACCCTCAGCTGGGGCGCTTTGTATCCGCTAATGGTTTGGAGAGTTCGGGGAAGAAGTGAGACAGAGAATATATGCCCAAGCTGTGGCTCCCTCGGGTCTCCAGGATGCAAAGTGCCAGTGCTGATAAGCATGCGGACCAAGGGTGATGCGTGGCACGTGCTCCAGATCGGGGGATGGGGCTTCTGGGCTCATGCCTGTGGACAGTGGTTGTCCACATGGAGCGTGTCCAGTGGGAGTGACCCTCCTCAGGACCAGTGGTGTTGAAGACCATCTCCCCTGTGCTTTAATGCAGGTTCAGCCTTGCTGCTGGGAAGTGGGGGGACACCTCCTGGGGAGACACCTGCGGGGGTGACACCTGCCTGGGGAGACACCTGCTGGGGGGCAGACACCTGCTGGAGGAGATTCAGAGCAGGGTGCCTGGTGGTTACTCTGCAGGACTGCCTTCTCACAGCTGTGCCCAAAGTGATCCTGGCTTTGGGGTCTCACTGGTGAGATGGTGTTAGTAAAAGTTTGTCGTGTGTCCAAAGGATTTTGTTTTATTTATTTATTTTTTTAAAGATTTATTTTTAAAATTTTTATTGGGAAGGTGGATATACAGAGAGGAGAGACAGAGAGGAAGATCTTCTGTCGGTTGATTCACTCCCCAGGCGGCTGCACTGGCTGGAGCTGAGCCAATCTGAAGCCAGGAGCCTCTTCTGGGTCTCCCATGTGGGTGCAGGATCCCAAAGCTTTGGGCCGTCCTCGACTGCTTTCCCAGGCCGGGAGGCAGGGAGCTGGAAGGGAAGCGGGGCTGCCGGGATTAGAACCGGCGCCCAGATGGGATTCTGGGTGTACAAGGCGAGGACCATAACCACTGCGCCATCGCGCCGGGCCCGTATTTTATTTTGTTTTAAAAATTAAATTTATTTTCATTGAACTGTATTTTTGTATTTTTAAAGATTTACTTATTTTTATTGTAAAGTCAGATATACAGAGAGGAGGAGAGACAGAGAGGAAGATCTTCCGTTGGATGATTCACTCCCCAAATGAGCAAAATGGCCGGTGTTGTGCAATCTGAAGCTAGGAGCCAGGAACTTCTTCCGGGTCTCCTGCACAGGCCCAGGATCCCGAGGCTTTGGGCCGTCCTCGACGGCTTTTCCAGGCCACAATCAGGGAGCTGGATGGGAAGTGGAGGAGCTGGGATTAGAACCGGTGCCTACATGGGATTCTGGCGTGTTCAAGGTGACGGCTTTAGCCGCTAAGCCACGGTGCCGGGCCCTGTGTTAATGTTTAAAAAACTAATATATTTATTTGAAAGAGACACAGAGGGACAGATACTCTGTCCACTGGTTCACTTCCCATACGGGGCCAGGCCAGAGAGGAGCCAGGAACTCTCAGGGTCTCTCTCATGGGTGGCAGGGCCCAGACACCTGGGCCGTCTTCGACTGCTTCCTACAAGCAGGGAGCTTGATCAGAAGGGGAGCAGCTGGGACCTGTGCCCACATGGGGTGTCAGTGTTGCACAGCGCTGGCCCCCTGTAAAGTGTTTTAAATGCCTCAGCATCCCGAGCTGGAGAAAGGCAGCTGTCAGGGTTTAGATGAGTTGGAGCAGTGCCGCTGGGATGGGGAGTCTTCCTGGCTTCCAGTGCTGGTCCTGCCACCCTCTCCCAGACTTGGGGCACATGCTGAAGGCTTTGGGCGTGTGTTGGAACATGCACGTGAGAGAGGTCATGGGCCGGCGTCCGGAGGGTTGACTGTCCTCGCCTGGGCCCTGCACTCAGCCCCCGGGAACACCTTGGCTTTGAGGAGCGGGATCGTGGAGAGGGTGCAGAGTGTTGGCGCTGCCCTCAGTTCCCGTTTCTAGACTTGTGGCCCGGCTGCTGTTTCCCCGGACCCAGCTTGGTCTGGAAGCATGCGCTGGTAGGAGCGTCGAGAGCCTTCTTTGGTTTATAGGCTTGCTAGATAGGTTATCTGTACAGCCTGTTTCCTGAGGGGCAGCGGCCGTCTCCATTGCAGGGACGCGAGGCAGGGCCAGCATGCCCGTCTCCCCTGCCAGGACGGTCAGCACGGTGGGCTGACACACGCCCCTCTCTGCTGCTGCGTTAGTGGCTTTGGATCTAACACAGTCATAGCGTGGGGATGCTTGGCACAGCTGCAGTTTATGTTCCCACAGTCCTGGGGCCAGACGTCTGCAAGCAGGATGTTAGCGCGTCGGAAGTGTGGTGGCCATCCGAGTGCCTCTGCTTACTTGTTTGTTTTCTTTCTCTGTTTCTCTTTCATTCTTCTTTTCTTGCTTTTTCTCTTTTAAAAATCATTTGTTTGAACAAAAGAGAGAGGAAATGAGAGAGAGTGAGCGAGTGAGCGCTCCCATCCATTGGTTCACTCCCCGAGCGGTGCCAAAGGCAGGTGCTTTTGCCAGGCCTCCGGGAAGTCCCCGGTGTCGTCTGACCTGAGGTCCTGGCGTTGGCTGCCATCTTTGCAGTTGTTACACTGGTCTGCAGTGTATCTTATGGCCGGGAGCCTGGGTGGGGAGTCATGGACCTGAGGACATGAGTGGGTCAGTGTTCTCCACGCTGGAAGAGTCTGCATGCGCTCGCTGAAGGCCTGGCGGTGCTGAGGGGCAGGCCCTCGGGTTGGCCCTTCGCGCCAGCTGGCACTGCGGGGGCACTGCCGGTGTGTTGAGAGCTGAGCGCTCCAGTGAGTGGAGGTCTTTCAACTACTGACTGCCTTTGTTTTTATTGATTTTTGTTGGTTGCTATGGAAATTTTAAACAACTTTTACATTAAAATTTTTGTCCATTTTAGTGTAGGAAAAATGATGATGGAGACACAGTTGTGGTTGAAAGGGACCATTTTATGGACGATTTCTTCCATCAGGTAAGGGCGTTTACCGAAGTCCAGGTGTGGTTTTATATGTAAATGGGGTTATGTTAATGTAATCGTGCTGTTGCCGTATTTGAAATGATATTGAGATAAATTAGTTTCGCAACCCCATTTGGGTTCTGTGAGCTCTCTAGGATTTGCTGGCACCATTGAAATGCTCGAGTTGAGAACAGGTGCCTCCTGGAGCCTGATCTGGCCCAGGGGCGTGGGGGCATCCCCAGATGAGGGTCAGAGGCAGAACACTAAAGACGCGAGAGTAGATGTCGCTGTGTACCAACATAAACTAACCTTTAACGCCCTTTCTACTTGGAAGGCAGAGACACAGACGGAGCTCTGCCCTGTACTGGCTGGGGCTGGGCCGGTGGGAAGCCCGAGCTGGGTCTGCATTGTAGGGGCCGGGGCCCAAGCACTCGAGCCCTCCCGGCTGCCCCCTTGGGCTACATCAGTGGGAAACTAGAATTGGAAGGGGAGGGTGTCACACCCACACACTGAGGGGAGATGCGTAGCTGCTGTTGAAACTCCTCATTTGAGCATCTTTATGTTAGAAATGAGATGTACAAAAAATACAAACCACGCTCCAGTCACCCCATCTGTTTTTGGAAAACACAACTAGAAACACATATTTTTATTATTATCATTTGTGAGGCAGAGTTAGAGGAGAGACAGAGATGCATCTGTTGGTCACCCCCCAGGTGGCTGCAGTGGCCGGGGCTGAGCCGAGGGAAACCCTCAAACCAGTGGCTCCATCTGGGTCTCCCTCGTGGGTGGCAGGGCCCAAGCGTGGAGGTCATTTTTTAAAGAAGATTTATTTGTTTATTTATTCATTAGAAAGTCAGATATACAAAGAAGAGGAGAGACAGAGAGCAAGATCTTCTGTCCGCTGATTCACTTCCCAGGTGGCTGCAGCGGCCAGAGCTGCACCCCTCTGAAGCCAGGAGCCACGAGCTCTTCTAGGTCTCCCATGGAGGTGCAGGGTCCCAAGGCTTTGGACCGTCCTTGACAGCTTTCCCAGGCCACAAGCAGGGAGCTTGATGGGAAGTAGGGCTGCTGGGACTCCTGGGACACGAACTGGTGCCCATATGGGAACCTGATGTGTGTGAGGCGAGGACTTTAGCTGCTAGGCTACCATACTGGGCCCTTGGGGGTCATTTTACACTGCGTTTAAGTGGATCAGCAGGCAGCTGGGACTCAAATCAGCACCCATTTTGGGTGTCTGCATTGCAGGTGACAGCTTTGCAACGCAGCACTTAGCCCTAGAATTTTTTTTTTTCAGTAACAGAGGTATGTTCACATTTATATGTGTCTTAGCCTCCTTTGCTGCTGTAATAGATGACGCAGAGCTGGCGAGCAGAGGCGCTGGGCGTCTGCCGTCTCATGGTTGTGTGCATGCAGAGCAGAGTCAAGGCTGCCCCGGGGAGTCGGCTCCCCCTTTGCAGCTCCCGGAAGCCATCTTCTGCCTCAGCGTGGCCCTCCATCCTCCAGGGCACCCTCTGAGCTGTCCTCACGGGCACGTCTCCTCTTCTGCTGTGGGCTCCTTGCCTCCCAGTGAGGATGCCTGAGGTCTTCTCGCAGCCATGCAGGCTCTCCTGGGTAGTCTTCCGGCTCAGGACCCAGTGCCTCGCTGCCTCAGTCAAGGCCCTTTGGCCAGAAAAACTGACAGTCGGCAGCCCCAGGCCAGTTGTGGGCTGAGTCCCAGCTGCCTGCTGATGCCCTCACCACGAGGCAGCTGCGTGTCCCTGCTGTCAGTGACCTCTTTGCTCCTTCTCAGTCAGGCTGCACCTGCTGGCCCCTCCTCAGGATGCTCATGGGCAGGCACCGTGAGGGCCAGTGGTTCTGACTGAGTCCAGTCACATCTGCAGGATTTCCCTGGCCATGCTGGAGGCCATCCTGGGCGCCATCCTGGGCACCAAGGACCTGAACATGTCTGGGCCACAACAGAGCCGGCCACAGGGCGCCAGGGACCGGGCCCTGAATGCCTCTGGGGCCGTGAGTGAGTCGGCCACAGGGCTTATGAGGGCTACCTCACTCATCCGAGTAACTCGGGAGTGAGAACGTTACGTCTCGGGACGTGTTGAATAGTGTAGACCATATCCACTGGAGAGAAGTCTTAAGGACCAGCCACACGAGCTGAAAATCCTCCTCACACGTGCGTGTCACTCAGGCGCGTCCTGTGCGGCCAGCTGAGTTCCACTTTGCACAGTGCTGGTGCTACGGGAGTGTGCTGCGGTGCCTCTGTCATGTTGCTCGGGACCTGTGGCCCTTCCCAGCCTCTGGGCTGCACAGTGGTGTTGCTGTCACCATCGTCGGAGGACAGCTGATGTAGGCTCCCTCTCCCTGGAGTCCTGCTCGAAATGGTTGTGGTGTGGGCCTAGAAGAGGCTTGTGTTTCTTTCTGTTGCAAGTGTTTGTCACTCTTTGTCCCTCTTATCTGAGGCCGTGAAGATGGGGACGTTGTTGCAGTTGCCTCAACATCTCACTGTGTCTGCTAGGTTGAAGAGATCAGAAACAGCATCGCGAAAATAGCGCAGGACGTCGAAGCTGTGAAGAAAGACCACAGCGTCATCCTTTCAGCTCCAAACCCGGAAGGAAGTATGTGGCTGCTGGCGACCGGGCGCTCCGTGTCTCTCACTGTCACCGTGGTCTCCGTGTCTCTCACCGCCACCGTGGTCTCTCCGTGTCTCTCACCGCCACCGTGGTCTCTCCGTGTCTCTCACTGTCACCGTGGTCTCTCTGTGTCTCTCACCGTCACCATGGTCTCTGTGTCTCTCACTGTTACCGTGGTCTCTCCGTGTCTCTCACTGTCACCGTGGTCTCTGTGTCTCTCACCGTCACCGTGGTCTCTGTGTCTCTCACCGTCACCGTGGTCTCTGTGTCTCTCACCGTCACCGTGGTCTCTGTGTCTCTCACCGTCATGTGGTCTCTGTGTCTCTCACCGTCACCGTGGTCTCTGTGTCTCTCACCGTCATGTGGTCTCTGTGTCTCTCACCGTCACCGTGGTCTCTCCGTGTCTCTCACTGTCACCGTGGTCTCTCCGTGTCTCTCACCGTCACCGTGGTCTCTGTGTCTCTCACCGTCACCGTGGTCTCTGTGTCTCTCACCGTCATGTGGTCTCTGTGTCTCTCACCGTCACCGTGGTCTCTGTGTCTCTCACCGTCACCATGGTCTCTCCGTGTCTCTCACTGTCACCGTGGTCTCTGTGTCTCTCACTGTCACCATGGTCTCTCCGTGTCTCTCACCGTCACCGTGGTCTCTGTGTCTCTCACCGTCATGTGGTCTCTGTGTCTCTCACCGTCACCGTGGTCTCTCCGTGTCTCTCACTGTCACCGTGGTCTCTCCGTGTCTCTCACCGTCACCGTGGTCTCTGTGTCTCTCACCGTCACCGTGGTCTCTCCGTGTCTCTCACTGTCACCGTGGTCTCTCCGTGTCTCTCACCGTCACCGTGGTCTCTGTGTCTCTCACCGTCACCATGGTCTCTCCGTGTCTCTCACTGTCATCGTGGTCTCTCTCTGTCTCTCACTGTCACCGTGGTCTCTCTGTCCTCTCTCACCGTCTGCAGCGTCAGCTTGCCCCTTGCTGTCCACTGCATTGCCTGGGAGCTTGTGGGGTGCTGGGTGGTTGGACTCTCGCTGTGTGGAGGCTGGCATTGCCATGGTCTTTGATGCTGCCTGCAGCTTCCCATAGGCGAGAGCCATGAGTATTCCTGAATCGAGACGCCCAGGATCCCTGGGTGGTGGCTGTGTGTGCCGTCAGGCCACAGTTACACAGGAAAGGCCACGTCAAGTTCAGGGAATGGTCACTGGGCGATGGCTTGTGACTTGGTATGTGAAGTCACCTCTGTGTACAGTAAGGCCGATGGGCAGGATTTCCTGGAAGTGAGCATGGGAGCTGCGGTGGGATGCCTGCCAGTGCCCTTGAGAAGGGGCATGTGGTGCTGGGCTTCATGCAGGTTCCCGAGGCCCCTGACAGTGCTAGCAGAGGAGAAAACCAAACACGTGGCAGGACCCACCCTCCCAAAAAGATGGCTAATCTCTTCCTTTCTCAGGCCTGGGTGTCAGCAGTGGGCTTGGTGAGCTGTTTCATCCAGGAGTTGCCATAGCCAGCTGTTCTCAGACTTGGGTTGTGTGAGCGTCACCTGGAGGTTAGGTTAAGTCAGGCACTGTCCGTGGCCCAGGTCACTTCCGGCTGGACGCGGGCGTCACCTGGAGGTTAGGTTAAGTCAGGCACTATCCGTGGCCCAGGTCGCCTCTGGCTGGACACAAGTGGGTCTGTTAAAGCCCTGAGCCCACCCCTGCTCTTGGGGGTCCTGGTATCAACTTAGGTTTTTTTTTTCTAAATATGTTCGTTCCAAAATTTATAAAAATATACAAATGATTCTTTTTAAAAGGTTATTTTTTTTTTGGAAGTTTGTAGAGAGGGAGGGAGAGACAGATGTTCCGGCCACTGGTTCTCAGGTGTCTGTGATGGCTAGCGCGGGGTTGGGTACTTTCAGCTGGTCTCCTTGGGAGACAGAGACCCAAACATCTGGGGCGTGCTCTGCTTTTCCTAGGCCCTTATTAGCAGGGAGCTGGGTCAGAAGTAGTGCGGCTAAGACACAAACCGGCACCGTGCGATGCTGGAGTCATACCACATGCCGGCCCCGAAGAGGATGTGCTAAGATTGCCACTGTGTTGAGACGTATTGAATATTGTTCTTCTGGAATGTTATAACCGAGGTACCTTATTTTACATTTTTAAAGAGATAAAAGAAGAGCTTGAAGATCTGAACAGAGAAATCAAGAAAACTGCTAATAAAGTTCGGGCCAAGTTAAAGTGTAAGTGTAAAGCTTAATGATGATGGAATTTTTTGTCATTGTGTCTTCCTTGCAGTTTTCTCTAATCTTACATTTTCTTCAGAAATTACTTGTGCATGTTCAAACGTCCTGATTAATATCTGGTAAGATTGTTTGCTTTAATTTGTTACACCGTGACCTCGTGACAGGTGGGTGACTTGTTACACTGTGACCTCATGACAGGTGGGTGACTTGTTACACCGTGACCTCGTGAAGGGTGGGTGACTTGTTACACCGTGACATCATGACAGGTGGGTGACTTGTTACACCGTGACCTCGTGACAGGTGGGTGACTTGTTACACCGTGACATCATGACAGGTGGGTGACTTGTTACACCGTGACATCATGACAGGCGGGTGACTTGTGACACCGTGACGTCATGACAGGTGGGTGACTTGTTACACCGTGACGTCATGACAGGTGGGTGACTTGTTACACGTGACCTCATGACAGGTGGGTGACTTGTTACACCGTGACGTCATGACAGGTGGGTGACTTGTTACACCGTGACCTCATGCCGTGGGTGACTTGCAGATGTTGGAGGTGGATTTGCTTTGTAGTCTCCAAGTGGCTGTTAGTGGCCGAGTTCTTACAAACTTACCCAGTAGTAGCTTTCTCTTGATCTGCTAAAGATGGGTTGTATTTTGATTCTTACAGAACATGGAAATCTAGAACAGTCTCTGTAGGTTTCATTCTGGAAACACTGAGAGCTACTGCCAGCGGGCCTGGGCTGGGCTCTGCAGGCCTCTGGAAACTTGTGCTCCCTGGCAACCGACTGGCCGACAGGGAGGCAGGTCCCGGATGGCAGGGTCCCTCGGTTACACTTGACAATGTGCGCAGTCGCTCGCTCTAAATGCCCTTGACAAACGCACACACACATACATGGTCACTGGCTCTAACTGCCCATGACAAACAGACGCACACACAGATACATGTGTGCACACACAATCACTCGCTCTGATTGTGTAGCCCTCCTCTCCACTGTTCTTTCTTTTTTTTTTTTTAAAGATTTATTTATTTTTATTGGCAAGTCAGACACACAGAGAGGAGAGACAGAGAGGATCTTCTGTCTGTTGATTCACTCCCTCTTTTCAGTGGGTAGAGCCAAGAGCTTTTTTCTCTTTTTCCCAAAAGATAGAGTAAACCACCGTTGCCGTGCGGTACTGCAAGTTAGAGAACGAAACAGGAGCTTCGTTCAACTGGATGCATTGTGGCCCTGTCTCCTAGCCACGCCTGAAACACCAGCTTCCTAATGACTCATTTGCTTTATCCCAGCAACATGCAGAGACACTTGTCACTGTGGGGTCACTTGGAACCGTTGAATTGTTCTCTCTGTCACTGGGTTGTTTTAGATTTTTAATGTGATTGTGCTGTTAGCCAAAATTACTGTTACGTTTGCTTGCTTCATTTTTCTTTTTAATTTTAAGGATTGCTTTTAAAGTGCTTAATTTTACTTTAGTTGTGTGTCCTACAAAGTTGTAGGATAAAGCTTGTTTGTAGAAGCCGAGCTTCGTTCTGCCCCAGGCCCAGCTTGTCTTGCCCGTCTCCCCGATGGTGCCTTGTTTGCTGGTGAAGTGTGTGGGTTAGTTGCCTTCCCGTTTCTGCCCTGAGGACGTGCGTCTGTCCACACAGCATCAGGAGCAGGGAAATACTTTTCTCGGGATGGATGATGATCTTTTTATATTTATTTATTTAAAAGATTTATTTATTTTTATTAGAAAGGCAGATTTACAGAGAGGAGAGACAGAGATCTTCCATCCACTGGTTCACTCTCCAAGTGGCCACAATGGCTGGAGCTGAGTCGATCTGAAGCCAGGAGCCAGGAGCTTCTTCTGGGTTTCCCAGGCAGGTGCAGGGTCCCAGGGATTTGGACTAAACTGACTGCTTTCTCAGGCCATATGTAGGGAGCTGAATTTGAAGTGGAGCATCCGGGGTATGAACCAGCACTCAGAGGGAATCCTGGCACTTGTAAGGTGAGGATTTAGCCATTGAGCCATCACACTGGGCCCAGGTGGTCTTATTAGAATTTTTAAAGGTCACCTAGTTGTTAATGTTGATTTTTATAATGAAGTATGCTTCCAAGATAAAAAGAAAAGCAATTTTGGGTCTGACGTGATAGCCTAGTGACTAAATCCTCACCTTGCATCCACTGGGATCCATTATGGGCGCCAATTCATGTCCCAGCTGCTCTACTTTCCATCCAGCTCCCTGCTTGTGGCCTTGGAAAGCAGTGGAGGACGGCCCAAAGCCCTGAGTTATCCGTGGGAGACCTGCGAGAAGCTCCAGGCTCCTGTTTCAGATCGGCTCAGCCCTGGCTGTTGTGGCCACCTTGGGGAGTAAATCAGTGGATGAAAGATTTGTCTATTTCTCCTTCTCTCTGTAAACTTGCCTTTCACATAAAAAAAAAATCTTTTAAAAAAAAAGAAGTAGTTTGAGATTTGTCTTGAAAACATTGGATTTTACATTGAGAAGTTAACTCGCTCCTGTGTGTGTCTAGCCATTGGACGGAGCCTGGAGCAGGATGAGAGCGGGAACCGAGCGTCTGTGGATCTCCGGATACGAAGAACCCAGGTGTGCGTGGCAGCCTTGCTGGAGTTGCGGTCCGCCTTCTTTTCTTGCACTTGCTGACTTGGTTGTCTGTATCATTTCTGCGTAGCGTATTAGAGTGTGAAGTCTGTGTGTGGAACAGTCATCTGTTGTCAGGCCTCGTCTGACGATCAGAGAACACTCCCCCAGTTTAGTGTTGGTGGGAAGGTCATCTGAACAAGTTATAGAGCAGCAAAGAGGATTCTAGAATGCTTGACTTTACCAGAGTGATCCTGAGAGCAAGCTCTGTGGACAGCCTGCCCGGCCGCCAGCCCATTGCCACGCATGTAGCTCTGTGGACAGCCTGCCCGGCCGCCAGCCCATTGCCACACGTGTAGCTCTGTGGACAGCCTGCCCGGCCGCCAGCCCAGTCAGGCCTTGGTTAATAAAATCAGAGCTGTGGCCTGCTGATGTGTGAACAGGTGAACAGGTGTGAAGGCAGGCTGCGACAGTTGCTGCGAGTAGGGAGGGTAGTGCAGGCCTGGTTCTGTACAGGCTCCATTGCAGGCCGCAGTTGTTTGCCGTTGGGGGGCTGTTACAGTCGCTGTTCCCCAAAAGCAGCAGCTTTGCCTGTCCCTTTCGACGGGCGAGCTGCCCGAGATGGACTGATGGCAGCCTTTTCTGTTGTAGCACTCCGTGCTGTCTCGCAAGTTCGTGGAGGTCATGACAGAGTACAACGAAGCCCAGACTGTGTTTCGGGAGCGAAGCAAGGGACGCATACAGCGGCAGCTGGAGATCAGTGAGTGTGCAGACCCTCCCCGACAGACCGTCTGCTCGCAGAGTCCCGGCTTGGGGCAGCAGGTCTGTGCGTCCCGAGTCCTGGGACGAGGGCCCTCTTCGGCCCACTGCCCTTCCCTGGAAGCCACGACTCGAGCTGCTGGTTTCCCTCACTGAACCCGAAGTAGGAGGTACTGTCCCAGCAGGAAGGCTGCCTGCTTCTCGGTGTCACACCTGCCGCGAGGGTATGTTGGGAGGAAACAGAAATCCAGTTGGAAGTGTTAGGGACTCTGATTTTACTTGCTTGCTCACAGTTGAGCGAGTCCTTGATCCTTTGTAGCTGCGTTCTGATTGGAGGACATTCTTTTTCGTTATTTATCTGAGACCAAGGCAGAGCAGCAGAGAGAAGGTGCTTCTGTCTCACTCCTCAGACGCCCTCATCGGCCACAGGCGAGGCTGGGGGTCAGGAGCTCGGGCCAGGTCTCCCGCGTGGGCGGCAGGGCCTGTGACCTGAGTCCCCCCTGCCGCCCCTGGTGTGTGGCAGGAAGCTGGAGCTGGGCTGGGCTGGGAGACCTGGGGTCTCACCGCGGGCCCCCCGAGTGCAGCCTCTGCCTGTCCCTCTTCAGCTGGACGGACGACCACCGACGAGGAGCTGGAGGAGATGCTGGAGAGCGGGAAGCCTTCCGTCTTCATCTCCGACGTGAGTGCACGCGGCCGCGGGCTCCCTGCCCTCCCGTGGCGTCCACCAGCCGGGCTCATGAGCGCTCTCCTCTGTTTCTCAAAGATAATCTCAGATTCCCAGATTACTAGGCAAGCTCTCAACGAGATTGAGTCACGCCACAAAGACATCATGAAGCTGGAGACCAGCATCCGGGAGCTGCATGAGATGTTCGTGGACATGGCCATGTTTGTCGAGACGCAGGTGAGGTCACGACGCGGCCTCAGGAGAGGCCCTGGGCCGTGGGAGCTGCGCCCTGACCCTGCTCGGCGCTGGGATTGCTTGGATACAATCCTGTAATTCAAAAGTGACTTTCAGTGTTGTGTGTAACACAGGAGTGCTGGGAGCACCCTGAGCTGTGACTAGTGAGTGTGGGTGTAGGTCAGCCTGTGTCAGGGCCCAGGCAGTGTGGGTGTAGGTCAGCGTGTGTCGGGGCCCAGGGAGGGTGGGTGTAGGTCAGCCTGTGTCGGGGCCCAGGGAGGGTGGGTGTAGGTCAGCCTGTGTCGGGGCTCCAGCAACACTGTGATATGTCAGGGGGTACTTATAGAACACTGCATGAAGAGATGAGCTGGGTAGTCTGATAATTTTACTCACACGTGTGTCCCCGCACAACCGCTAGAACACACACAGAAGATGCACTTGAGTATCTGAAACAGGATCAACAGAGAAATGTCAAGCATTGTAGTAACAGGGGCACTATGGGAATTTCAGTTTTGTTCTCTAAATGGCTGTGTTTTCTACAAGGAAAATCTGTCACAGACCAACTGGGAGGAAACCCTGAGGGGACCCGTCCCCTGTCCCAAGTCATGTACCTGGTCACGTGGTATTCTCAGGGGCTGACAGGCCACGTGGGAAGCCCCACACAGACCTGTGGAACAGAGCCAGCACGCTCTGTGGGGTGCCTGGTGTGCCCTCACTTGCCCTGCCGTTCCGAGAGGGCCTCCAGGAGATGTAGGGACCCTCAGCCCGCCACCAGGAGGCTCCGAGTCCCCTCGCGGGCACGGCTCAGGGCTGCTCTGGCCGCTGCACCCCCCAGGGCCGCCGTCTTAGTGGCTGCCTTCAGTGACTCCATGCGGGGCTCCGTCCCCCAGCTCCCTGGCCTGCGAGGGGAGTTGGGCTGACATGGGCTGGGCAATCGCTTGTGCCCAGGGCGCAGGGAGCGCGGCTGTCCCCCAGCATCTCCTCAGCACGTGTGCAGAGGTGGCCAGGGCCGTCAGAGGCGCAGAGGGCTTGTGCTGACCTTGGCTTTCGTCGTCCTCTCAAAGATCTCCTTAGGAAGACACGCAGGCCCAGCTCTGTGCGCGTCTGCCCTGGTGCCACGTGGTGCTGCCAGGTGCCGTGTGGTGCTGTGTGGAGCTGCGTGCTGCCACGACGTGCCATGTGGTGCCCCGCGGATGCACGTGTGTGCCCGGTCACTTGGTGTGAGTGAGCGAGCCACCTGGCCCTCACAGCTCTCCTTTCTGCTGCAGGTGTTCCTGCTGCTGCACACAGCCAGGTACATGTGTGTCCCCCAGCATTCCACCTCATCTGCCTCAGGTTGCGTTGTTTTCCGTTAGTTCAGCCTCGTGCCTGCTCAGCGACGTCGGCAAGGCGTCCTCCGTGTGTCAGTGTGTGTTCGCGGTGGCAGCCTGTGCCCAGCGGGCAGTGAGAGCGGCGGCTCAGTGTGGCGGCCACACCTGCCCCTCGCTCCTCCTGCTGGAGCCCCTTCACCACATCTCCCCTTCCTGGTCCTTACCTGCTCACGTCATGTTTGTGGCTGTCTCGGATGTACGGGCTCATCTGAGAGCGTCTGCTAAGCACGAGGCTTTCTCCTCAGGGCGAAATGGTCAACAACATAGAGAGAAATGTCATGAATGCTGCGGACTACGTGGAGCACGCCAAAGAGGAAACCAAAAAAGCCATTAAATACCAGAGCAAAGCCAGAAGGGTGAGTCTGGGTTCAAGGGTCGCGGTGTCTTTCTCTTCCCTTCTTGTCTATAGGCCAGAAGGTCAGCACTGTTTGATGAATGCCTCCTAGCTAACCCTTCCACCTCGCAGTAACATGAGCCTGTCCGGACGGTGCTGCAGGAAATCAGAGCCCCTCAGTCCATGTTCATTCGTTTTCTGGCAGTTTTATAAGTTGGGTAGAAACCTTTCGGTGTTCTGGATAAGCAGACCCCTTCACAAGCAAATCAAGTGCGGCTCCCTCTGCTGGCCGGGTGGTGAGCTGCACTGGAGTTCTGTCGTCGGCCATTACTAGGAGGGAGTTACACACGGCTGGGATTACTGGGGTTACACGGGGCTGGGATTACTGGGGTTACATGGGGCTGGGATTACTGGGTTATACGTGGCTGGGATTACTGGGAGGGTTGCATGGGGCTGGGATTACTGGGGTTACACGGGGCTGGGATTACTGGGGGGGTTACACGGGGCTGGGATTACTGGGGGGGGTTACACGGGGCTGGGATTACTGGGGTTACACGCGGCTGGGATTACTGGGGTTACACGTGGCTGGGATTACTGGAGGAGTTATACGTGGCTGGGATTACTGGGGGGGTTACACGGGGCTGGGATTACTGGGGTTACACGGGGCTGGGATTACTGGGGTTACACGTGGCTGGGATTACTTGGGTTCACAGGGCTGGGATTACTGGAGTTACACGGGGCTGGGATTACTGGGGTAACATGGGGCTGGGATTACTGGGGTTACACGTGGCTGGGATTACTGGAGGAGTTATACGTGGCTGGGATTACTGGGGGGGTTACACGGGGCTGGGATTACTGGGAGGTTACATGTGGCCGGGATTACTGGGGTTACACGGGGCTGGGATTACTGAGGTTACACGGGGCTGGGATTACTGGGGGGTTACATGGGGCTGGGATTACTGGGGTTACACGGGGCTGGGATTACTGGGGTTCACAGGGCCGGGATTACTGGGGTTACACGTGGCTGGGATTACTGGGAGGTTACATGTGGCTGGGATTACTGGGGTTCACAGGGCCGGGATTACTGGGGTTCACAGGGCCGGGATTACTGGGGTTACACGGGGCTGGACTTCTCCTGCTGTTTGTTAGGTACATTCTGCGTGACTGTGTATTCCTTGCTCAGGTGATGTGCTGGTTCTTTGGTTGGAGGACGGAGGGTCGTGTGAGGTTGTGGAGCCGTGTCAGGTCCTCAGGGGAAGGGGGTCCCTCTGGCTCGCCCCTCACCCTTCCCGTTGGAGGGTCCCAGGCCCTGTGTGACTGTTCTTACTGCTCAGGCCTGACCTTGACAGTGAATCTGCTAGGTTAAGTCTCATTGCCTCTGTCCCCCTTTCTCTTTTATGACTCATTTTGTCTTGCATTTGGGGACTCACTGCTGGCGTGGCTGCAGTGGCTGTGGTCGGGCTTGGGCAAAGCCAGGAGGCTGCAGGTGCAGTCTCCAATAGGAGAGCCAGGGCCAGGTGCTGGGCCGTCCTGGGCTTGAGCAGGTGCACGGTAGGGGGCGTGGCCAGAAGCAGAGCAGCTGGACTAGAACTGGCCCTCGGAGGCCGGTAGCGGTGCGTGGCTGCTGCTTTGGCCTGCTGCCACAGGGCTGTGTCCTGCAGTGTGGGGGGACAGGGACCCAGGGCGTTAGCCTGGTTGGGGGTTTGTTCCCTCAGCTGCTTCCCACAGACCTTGCTTTCCAGTGCCTTTGGTGACAGCCTGCTGCTCCATGTGGGGACAAGGGGCTGGTTCAGAAGGGAAGTCAGGAGGGGCTGGGTAGAGAAGGGCTGAGGTGGCTGTGACGTCAGCCGGCTGTGACGTCAGCCTGCAGGGCGCGTTTGCTCTGCACTTGGGAATGGACGTGACTCCTCACGGGGTCTGCTGTGCTGCCTTTAAAGAATGCGAGGTTCTGGCCGTGACTGCGAAGGCTGCACTGGGATGGTGGTTCCCATTCCTCCCCGTGACCTAACGTGTCAGCTGGGGCGTGCTGGCTGCACGGGCACCGATCCACGGGGAGAGACGCGGTGGGGGCCTGGCTCTGCCGGGTGCTGGGTGGGGTCGGCACCCTGGGCCGTGTGAGCTACGGGATGCCAGCCTGGGGCCGGGGGTCGCCAGCGTGCCACGCTTGCCTGCTCACTGCTGTGCTCTGCTCGGCCAGGTGGCGCAGGGGCTCTTCCCCATGGGTGACCGCTCTCAGCACATGGAGCAGGCTTGTGCCCCACGCAAGCCCTGGCTTGGCAGGGGTCTCCCGCATGCGGCCCTGTGTGCTGAGGGGCAAGTAAGTTACCAGACAAGGTGAAGGAGACCAACTTAACTCGGGTTCCAGTAAGTGTGACGTGAGTCTGAACTGAACCGTGTCTGCGCTGTGACAAATGACACCAGTGTGATCAGCTTGCTTTTCTTTGACAGAAAAAGTGGATAATTGTGGCTGTGTCCGTGGCTCTGGTTGCTGTCATTGCTCTAATTATTGGTTTATCAGTCGGCAAATGATGGTGCTGATGACGTCAGGGAGCATGCCTCTGCCAGCCTGGCAGTAAGTAACTAATCAACCAATTTGCTTCTTCCCGCTGGCCACGCTTGCCCAGCTGCAGTGTGTGGGCATGGCGCTTGGTGCATGCCTGCTGCTGGAGCGGCCCGTCTCGCGGTCTGTCCCACTCACACGCGGGGTCTGCTGCTGGAGCAGCCCCGTCTCGCGGTCTGTCCCACTCGCACGTGGGGCTTGCACTCTAAGTTGCTACCTTACTGAGGGTTAACACAGACCATGTGGCCATTTATTTGTCTTTAAACCAGAGTTGTTACCTTACACAGTTTTTATTTAATTTTTAAAATACTTAAAAATGTATTTATCTGTTTGAAAGAGTTGCAGAGAATGAGGGAGACACACACACACAGCCCTCTCCCATCTGCTGGGTCATGGGCTGAAATGGCCGAGGCCGGGAAGCAGGACTTGCCAGTGGGAGCTGGGTGCAGGGGCCCTAGGCTTTGGGCCATGCTGTCTGCTTTCCCGGGCCATTAGCAGGGAGCTGGGTGGGAAGTGGAGCATAAACTGGACACGGACTGGTCCTCATCTGGACGCTGGCGCCGCAGGTCGAGTCTTAGCCCGCTGCCTGCCACACTGGCTCTTGTTTGGTTTGTGAGTCCCGTGTGTGCTCGTACTTGACTGCTCTGCCGTCTCCCGTCTCAGCCCTCCCACACAGCCCTTCCTAGACGTCACAGCCGCCTGACTGGGGAAACTAAGCTTATAAAACATCGACTGTCATCAAAATCTTTTTGTCTAATTTTTGTGTGTGTGGCAACATCTATTTCTTCGAAAACTGTCAGTAGGAGCCAGTGTTGTGGCCCAGCTCATGATGCTGCCGCTTGCAGTGCCAGCATCCCGTGTGAATGCCCTTCCAGTCCTGGCTGCTCCACTCTGGACCCAGCTCCTTGGTGATGCTCCTGGGAAAGCAGCACAAGATGGCCCAAGTGCTTGGATCCCTGCCGCCAGGTGGAGGACTGTGTTGGGCTCCTGGCTCCTGGCTGTGGCCTGACCCAGCCCCAGCCACTGTGGCCATCTGGGGAGTGAGGCAGTGGATGGAAGAGCTCTCTGTCTCTCTCTCCTTTTGTGGGTTCTTATTAAAATAAGATATGGGCCCAGCTCAATAGCCTAGTGGTTAAAGTTCTCATCTTGCATGTGCCAGGATCCCATGTGGGTGATGGTTCTTGTCCCAGCAACTCCAGTTCCCATCCAGCTCCCTGCCTGTAGCCTGGGAAAGCAGTCGAGGATGGCCCAAAGCCTTGGGACTCTGCAACCACGTGGGAGACCCAGAGGAGGCTCCTGGCTCCTGGCCTCAGATCAGCTCAGCTCTGGCCATTGTGGCCACTTGGGGAATGAATCAATGGATGGAAGATCTTCCTCTCTGTCTCTCTTCCTCTCTGTGTATCTGACTTTCCAATAAAAATAAATAAATATTTAAAATATAAGATATCATAGCAAATAAATAATTTATATGGTACCCTTTCACTATTGCTGTTCAATCTTTTTAATTTTTAAAATTTATCTATTTAATGGAGAGGGGAAGGAGAGCTAATTAGATAGACCAATCAATCTTCCATCTGTTGGTTCATTCCTCAAATGACTGCAGCTGCCAGGGCTGGGTCAGCCCAAAGCCAGGAACCTGGGATCCCGGTGAGGGCTGCTGGTGACCCAGCTGGCAGCTTAAGCCACTGTGCCACTGCAGGCTGCCAGCCACAACATGCCAGGAACCTGCTGGGCTGGGGCTGCCCGTCCGCTCCTGGAGGAGAGCCCAGGTGGGATGCTTCTGCACCTCTCCTGACTCCTTCCACTCAGCTGTGCCGAGGAACTGGCTATGTGCTGTGTCTCCACTGCCAGGCTGGCGTTTATGTGTGCCAGCCCCTCAGAGTGATGCCCCCCTGCTTTCCCGGCAGTTGGCCATCACACGTGGTCGGTTCCCGGAGGTTACGCTAAAGGGAACAATGGCAGAGTTGAGTTTGAAAGCTTGCTCCTGGCCTGACCCCTGGGAGTGGACTTGCCTGTGCCCTTGGCCTGGCTGGGGGCTTCCCCTTGGTGCTGTCTGCTCCTGCACAAAACACGCAGGCCGAAGTGGAGGCTGGGCAGGGTGCCCCTGGACAGGGAGAGCCAGAGCGTGAAGCTCAAGGCCAGGTCGCCTTGCAGGCGTGCTCTCCACCGAGAAGCCCAAGCGATTGCTGGGAGCTGGCTCCTGGAGATGGGGTGGGAGTAGTTGTTAGACGCAGGCCATTGAGGGCACAGGGAGGGCACCCAGCTCCACAGCCACTCCGAGAGGATGCCCACACAGGCTCCAGAATACAGTGTCAGCCATGCGCTGCAGGGCGTGCCCGTGGACCGTGCAGGCCTGCTCCGAGGCTCTGAGTCCACGAGGTTCCAGGGCCAGCCTGCCAGGTCGGAGCGGTGCTTGCCAAGACCCGAGGGGAGGATCCGGGGGAAGGTGTCTCCTGGACTGGAGTGCGGCATTCGCAGTGAGACGCAGGAGGGTGGGGCATTCCTGGAAGAGTGTACCACAGGCACAGGCAGGACTGGCCCTCCCTGGTGGTGCCCGTCCTCAGGGCTGCTGTGCAGGGCAGCGTGTGCCTCATAGGGCCAGCAGCGCGTCTGGCTGCTCAGCCTCCTGTCGGACTGTCCGGGCACAGCGAGGGTTCCTGAGCCGTCCCTGTGGCTGTGAACTTGGGAGTTTGGAATGAAGAGGCTGCTTTACCGGAACCCCAGGCTGTGTGCCTTTGTCCTCCTCCTCTCCTCCTCACCCGGGGGGACCAGCTGCCCGCGGCAGGCTTCTGTTCATTCAGACACATCCCCGGTGGCCGCGTGCCGTGCCGCGTCCTTCCAGGGGGAAAGACACGGAGCAGTGGTGAAGTCAGACTCCGTGAGCAGCCGGCCTGAGCTCCTTGTGGCGGGAGGTGTCACACACGCGGGGCAGCCGCCCGTGCCTTCCCTCCAGGAGTGGCCCGTGGCCTTGAGTCACAGTCCGGTGAAGCAGTGTGGCCCCCGGCCCAGAGCTCCGTGCTGCCGCTGGGAACCTCCCTGCCCACGTCCGTGACCTCCAGACCCTTTTCGGTTGAAGGGCTTGTCTTATACTATTGGAAGGACTTTGTTGATGATTGTAGTTTTTGATACATTGAAAAATTAATGTTTTTCTTTATCTTGCAGAAAATGATGTTCATGATTATTTGTGTGATTGTTTTGCTTGTGATCCTTGGAATTATCCTAGCAGCCACGTTGTCCTAGCAACCGTATTCCAAGAGCTGCTTATCCCTGGAGACGCAACGTACATCTGCAGCACAACACACATCCTGTTCTTTCCTGGGGGCCTCCTGCCTGCTGGGCCCCACTGCCTGGCTCCCGGCTCCGGGCTCCGGGCTCCGGGCTCCTGGCTCCGGGCTCTGGGCTTCCAGCTCCAGGCTCCTGGCTCCCGGCTCTGGGCTTCCAGCTTCGGGCTCTGGGCTCCGGGCTCCCGGCTCTGGGCTTCGGGCTCTGGGTTCTGGGCTCTGGGCTCCTGGCTCCCGGCTCTGGGCTTCCAGCTCCGGGCTCCTGGCTCTGGGCTTCGGGCTCCCGGCTCTGGGCTTCGGGCTCCCAGCTCTGGGCTTCTGGCTCTGGGTTCTGGGCTCTGGGCTCCGGGCTCCCATGGCAGAGCCCCGAGGAGGAAGCATGTAGCCTGGTATTAGGGGAAGTACTGCACAGACTGGGAGCTGGGGTGGCCTGGGCCTGGAGTGACGCCTGTGTCAGTGCCTTGAAATGGGGAATTATTGAACATTTCAATTTTTAAAAATATTTCAGTGTTAAAAGTGCATATGCAGTTTGTTTAGGAATACTTTGTTACAAAGCCGTTAGATTTGGGTCGAAGATTTTCTTTCCTGCCTTCTTTCAGGTAACAGGCTAGTAAGATACTCTCTGCCCTGTGCTAACTTGTGTTTATATCTTGTTGGCAGAAATAATTTTATCACAGAGCTGTTTTGTAAGAAATGTGTAATTTTGAATGTTTGTAAATTGTTTAATATAGGAACAACTTCATTTACCCCATTTTGTCTGCGCGCGTGGCCTTTGGAGCCGGGATGCAGCCCCATCCTGGCTGCCTGCCGACAGCCTGCAGTTAGAACGCGGCTGCACGGCCCTCAGCACTCCTGCCACGGGTGCAGGTTGCGTGCAGCCCTGTCTGCGCGTCCCCTGCCGTCACTGCCCCAGGACGCGGTAGGGCCTCTGTGCTGACCAGGATCGTTCCAGCAGCTAGAGCGCGCTCTCATGCACACCCCGGGGCTCCGCTTAGGGCCTGAGGGAAAGCTGGGTGCCAGTGCTCGTGGGACCCGAGAAGCAGCCACTGGGTGACTTGTTGGGGACCCAAGAAGTGCCCGGAGTGGGTGTGGGCATCTATTGAGGGGACTGTTGAGATTGTAAGTGGATGAACTGGCTCCCGGGGAGCTAGCTCCCAGTGCCACAGGTGCCCGGGAGCAGGCCGCCGTGTGGTCGGACTCTGGTTGGCTTCCAGCAGGGTGGCCTTCCTGAGTGAGACCCAGTGCACGGCTCGGCTGAGACGCGGGGCTCTGTGTGTGTGTGGCGCTGCCCTGCCCGTGGGCGCGTGTACCCGGCCGGCTCGTGGATCATGCCTGTGATGCGGGTGGCTCCGCCCGGCGAGGCCCCAGCGCTGCTTGGATCTGCCTCCACTTCCGTCCCGCTTGCCCGCCCGCTGCTCGTGGCAGACAATGCCGTCTCGGGGTTTCCTGGCTGAAGTCGCGGAAATGCTTTGTGGGTGGATCTTTGAATCAGTTGGAGTGGTCCCACCAATATGTTGAAGCCTTATGTACCAATTTGAAGTCAGATTTTTTAACAGTATATTTACAGATTGATTTGTTACTTTTTTATTGTTCCCTTAAATATTTCAGGTTTACATTTTTAAAAATTCCCAGAGAAGAAGAACGAGAAATGCTTGCTTTCTACTTTGTCATTTTTGGAAAGATGTTGGCACTTACTTTATTGCACATCCGTTAATAAATTGTTCTGAGAAAATTGCTGATACTTGTGGCTGTGATTGTGTGTGACAGTGCAGCTTAACTCAGGCACGTTTGCTCGTTGTCTGTGTTCGGCTGGCAGCACCATGTATTAAAGGAATCCGCTAGAGTTCTTGCACTAGTCATGAGTCACTAAATTCAGTCCGCATCTCTCAGACCCGGGTCAGGCAGCCCACAGCTGGGGCGACCATGGTGTGTGCCCTGGCCTGCCCAGTATCTGTGTCATCTCCCCGTTTCTCTGTCTTCCCTCAGGGTTTCTCTCCCCGTTTAGACATGTTAGCATTAATGTGTGGGGTGCGGGGCGTGGGCCGGGGTGTGGACACAGCTGTGTGGGGTGTAGGCTGGGGTGTGGACACGCACAGCTGTGTGGGGCGTGGGCTGGGGTGTGGACACAGCCGTGTGGGCGTGGGGCGTGGGCTGGGGTGTGGACAGGCACAGCTGTGTGGGGCGTGGGGCATGGGCTGGGGTGTGGACACAGCTGTGTGGGGTGCGGGGCGTGGGCTGGGGTGTGGACAGGCACAGCTGTGTGGGGTGTGGGGCATGGGCTGGGGTGTGGATACGCACAGCTGTGTGGGGTGTGGGGCGTGGGCTGGGATGTGGACACAGCTGTGTGGGGCGCGGGGCGTGGGCTGGGGTGTGGACAGGCACAGCTGTGTGAGGCGCGGGGCGTGGGCTGGGGTGTGGACACGCACAGCTGTGTGGGGTGTGGGGCATGGGCTGGGGTGTGGATACGCACAGCTGTGTGGGGTGTGGGGCGTGGGCTGGGATGTGGACACAGCTGTGTGGGGCGCGGGGCGTGGGCTGGGGTGTGGACACGCACAGCTGTGTGAGGCGCGGGGCGTGGGCTAGGATGTGGACATGTGCAACCAGAACATCAAGAAAGTAAAAATCGGATCATCCTGGTGAAAACAGACTCCTCGTGGTAGATTCCTGGATTGCCATATTCGTATACAAAAAATTCTTTATGGAAAGGCGGGGTGACAGGAGAGGGATCTCCCAGGCGCTGGAGCAGGGTCAGGCCAGGCCCCGGCGCTGGAGCAGGGTCAGGCCAGGCCCCAGCGCTGGAGCAGGGTCAGGCCAGGCCCCAGCACTGGAGCAGGGTCAGGCCAGGCCCCAGGCGCTGGAGCAGGGTCAGGCCAGGCCCCAGCGCTGGAGCAGGGTCAGGCCAGGCCCCAGGAGCTGGAGCAGGGTCAGGCCAGGCCCCAGGAGCTGGAGCAGGGTCAGGCCAGGCCCCAGCACTGGAGCAGGGTCAGGCCAGGCCCCAGGAGCTGGAGCAGGGTCAGGCCAGGCCCCGGCGCTGGAGCAGGGTCAGGCCAGGCCCCGGCGCTGGAGCAGGGTCAGGCCAGGCCCCAGCGCTGGAGCAGGGTCAGGCCAGGCCCCAGGAGCTGGAGCAGGGTCAGGCCAGGCCCCAGGAGCTGGAGCAGGGTCAGGCCAGGCCCCAGGAGCTGGAGCAGGGTCAGGCCAGGCCCTAGGAGCTGGAGCAGGGTCAGGCCAGGCCCCAGGCGCTGGAGCAGGGTCAGGCCAGGCCCCAGCACTGGAGCAGGGTCAGGCCAGGCCCCAGCACTGGAGCAGGGTCAGGCCAGGCCCCAGGAGCTGGAGCAGGGTCAGGCCAGGCCCCGGCGCTGGAGCAGGGTCAGGCCAGGCCCCAGGAGCTTCATTGCAGGACCCAGCCTGGGCAGCAGGGGCCCGAGGATGAGGGCAGCTCTCCACTGTCTTCCCGGATGCAGAACAGCCTGGGTTAACCCAAACGCCAGCCCTTCTTGCACATCAACCTTAGTCAGATTTCTTTCACAAGGAATATATTTCTTTTGAGAGTACAAGCTTGATGTGAATGTCTAATTATTCCTTTATTTTTTAAGATGAAAAAGTTTGTGACTAAATTTTTATAAATTCTTTAATAAATCTAAGCTTGCATCTTCCATGAGTTGAAATGGGATTCCAACTAGACCATGTGTGCGCTGTCAGAGAAGGACGAAAATTTGGGACGGGGCCTGGCAGGCCCTGGGCCTCCTGCAGTGTCTCTGCTGGCACAGACCTGGTCCCCTGCGTCCCCCAGCTGGCCAGCTGCTGCCAGCCGCTGCCCTGCCCCCAGTGACCCTGCAGGTACGTGGGGGCTTGCCTCTTACTCGCTCTTCTTCTTTTTAAAAAAAGATTAATTTATTTTTATTGCAAAGTCAGATATATAGAGAGGAGGAGAGACAGAAAGATCTTCCATCTGATGATTCACTCCCCAAGTGACCGCAACGGCCGGAGTTGTGCCAATCCGAAGCCAGGAGCCAGGAGCTCTTCCAAGTCTCCCATGTGGGTGCAGGGTCCCAAGGCTTTGGGCCGTCCGCAACTGCTTTCCCAGGCCACAGGCAGGGAGCTGGGTGGGAAGTGGAGCTGCCGAGACACGAGCCAGCATTGCCCGTATTTGATGCTGGTGTGGCAACGTAGAGGATTGGCCTGTTGAGCCACTGCTCTGCCCCTGTGTGTTTCCTACCCTTCCCCATGCTGACCTGGAGTGGGCATGAGCAGAGGCAGGCGCCACTTCTGGACTCAGCAGGGCTGGAGGAGAGGATGTGGGGCAGGCGTCTCTCGGGGGCCCCTGGCGGGGCAGGCGTCTCTCGGGGGCCCTTGATGGGGCAGACGTCTCTCGGGGGCCCTGGTGGGGCAGGCGTCTCTCGGGGGCTCCTGGTGGGGCAGACGTCTCTCGGGGGCTCCTGGTGGGGCAGGCGTCTCTTGGGGGCCCCTGGTGGGGCAGATGTCTCTCGGGGGCCCTGGTGGGGCAGGCGTCTCTCGGGGGCCCCTGGTGGGGCAGGCGTCTCTCGGGGGCCCTGGTGGGGCAGGCGTCTCTCGGGGGCCCTGGTGGGGCAGGCGTCTCTCAGGGGCCCTTGATGGGGCAGGCGTCTCTCGGGGGCCCTGGTGGGGCAGGCCACCAAAGCTATCTCACAGGAGGCTGTGGCTGCAGGTCCTCCCGCATCTGTCCCATGTTGGCAGAAGACCGCAGCCACTGAGAGCTGCAGGCAGTGGGCTCCACGTACCGGGCTCTGCTGGTGCCGGGCCATGCCAGCCACTGAGAGCTGCAGGCAGGCATTGGGCTCCATGTCCCGGGGCCTCGCTGAGCGTCCCTGCCCTTCCTTGGCTCTCAGGATCGAGTCTCCGGAGAGAAAATTCCAGGATATAGGTAATCCTGAGCCACTCCGGGTGACCTGGGGAGCAGAAGTGATGAACAG